TTAGTTAAATCTTCAAGTTTTGCTGCATTTTCCAGGACTCCTGCCCCACCTCGATATTTTTTACACTTTGCCCCACCCTGGCTAAATCCTTATTAACTCCAGACACAGAGAGTCAACCCTTTTTCCCAAAGGATTTAGGCATAACCTTCTCTCCGCTACACTACCATTTCTATTCCTCAACAGAATCAAAATTAATACCACCCCAACAGTTCTATTTACAAACATCATCTATCATATATAAACAGAACTAACACAACCACAAAGCATGGGTAGCAAGGTCTCCTACAGAAAAATGAAGCATCATACCTATATACTAACAACCCATGCATAACCTTCTAAACAATATGTTAATTTCAGGGTTTAATGCTATCCAGATACCAGTATCTGGTTTACATGGGATTCTGAACCTAAATTAGATACCTAAAAATTTAAAACAAGAAGTTCCAAACAGTGAGGCATAATTGCTTCCAACAATTTAAAACAATATATATTAAAAAGCAAGGAAAATATTGAAACAGCATAAACAAACCTCCTTTGAAAGAGGAGCTTTAGAAATGGAATAATAATCAAAAAATATCTGAAGTGTTGAAGAATCCTCCAATACTGGTCTCCAAGATGATGGAATCTGTAAGGTTAACACCATACACTGGGTTATTTACAAATAATGCCCAATGAGAGACTTTCAAGCAACTAAAAGTTAAAAGAAGTGCACAGTTGAGAAAATGTTCCATAGATACCTGAACGGTACCAAACTCTTCTAAACTTTCATCAATTGATGTCCCAACAAAATCAAAGGATAAACATTTCAGTGCAAGAGAGAGTGCCAGCTCTTGCAATCGACTTGCAACTGCAAATTTCATATAATCACCAACAAAGAATCAATATGAAAAAAATGAATAGGGCAGGAATAAGGAGTCAAGGAGAGGGGACTGGATCCAAACAGAAAACATGAGCAAAATGGCATGTTACCATCATTTTTCAGATGACGCAGCGATGTTAAAGATATTTGGAATATTTGAAAAAGTGACTGATCCCTGAAGGAACAAGCTACCCTTCGATGATGTGTTGATGGCAACCCAGGATTAGGCTGAAAATTAAGGCGTCAAGAAATACACAAGCACATGAAAAATTCCATTGCAAGTAAATGAAAAGTAATCGTAATTGAAAAGAAAAAGAGAAGGAAAATTAGAGTATTAAACAGTACCCAGTTCAGGATCAATGGTGAAGTTAAACAACCTAGGGATCACTAATTAGGATCTAGTGTCTTCCAACAAAAGTAACAGCATTTATAATTATAATTTTAGGGGGGGTGGTTGTAGAGGGTAAGCAGAATCCTGGATATTAAGCCTATGTTAACGTTTCTTCTAATGCTATATTCCCGTTAATGGTATGCATGTCCACGCGTAACATAAACTGCAAATTGCACCATTGTAATATGAACTGCAGAATACTATAAAGTGCAGATCAACGACCTTCCTTAGTACCCAATAAAAAGATAGCACCAGATTCTTGGAAACATATCAAGACCAGCCAAATATAACTGCTTTCAGCCGCATATGGATGCTTCATAACTGTCCCTAAACTTCAGATGCAAACTCAGAATGGGCCAAGAAAATATCTTCGGAAGAGTAATTCACTCATTACAACTTCATTTTAATGGACATGAGAAAATTACAGAACAAAAGGCCAACAAATGCAATCCTGCTCAGAGTTTTTAGCTATTAACAAAATACCTACATAAATATTTATATAAAGTTCTCCATTCTTCGATCACCTGAAAACACCAAAAAAAAAACAAAAATAAAACGAAAATATAAATCGATTTGATCGTCTGAAAACAAAAAATAAGGGAGCTACGGTGTTTGTTTACCTTGTTTGGTTCGTAAGCGAAAGATCTAAAAAGCGGCGGTTTAGTGGAATGTGAAGAAGCAAAATTAAATACTCACAAAATATCGAAGAGGGAAAGGAAGGGTTTGGTTTTTCTAAGATGGGAAGGAGGAATCAGCAATGCTCTTCTTTTCCCCTTTTTTTTTCCTTCTTGGCCTTTCCGGTTTGTGAGTCTACTTGTATAATACAAGTGTAGGTATTCCCTTGCTTTTGGCCGCCTGATTTGATTACTCAGACCCAGATCCAACGGCAGATTTTTTTTAGTCTTCTTTTCAAAAATATAATAATTATTCGTTCCAATGGGTGTGCAAATGTTGGGTTCAATATTAAAATTTTAAAACTCGAGCAAATTTAATTAATTTTATATAAAAATTGAACTGAATCAAATTATTGTAGTTAGTCCAACTCCTTCAATTAATTTGATCAAACA